GGTGTAATCAGTTGCCTTGAAAGACTGTTTTCGTCTACTATAATAACTAACCTGTTGACTTACGTTTACATTTATGTAAATAGTTTTGAAATCACACTTTTATATAAAGAGAAAACGCATCGTGTTTTTTTAACCGTAAGTCAGACACGGGATGTTCGTATATTTATAAGTAAAACAATAGATGCGTATGAAATTTGAAATTTTGGCCACGTATAAATAGTTCTTATTCTAAACAGCTAACACGTAATGTGACAAGAATAATTTATTAAGCATTCAGTACCACGGAAATATTTCACACACAAAGTGACATTGTGCGAGGAGAAAGTATATAAATTCTTCCGAATTCACAGCGGTGCTTCATCCATATGCAAATGCATTAATTTGGTGAACATCCAAGCCTCCCACTTTCCTTCGCAATCACTGCTTTCCGTGCCGTAACATCTCTGTGCGTCTGTAAGTTGACGTCATCTGGCGATGAGGTGCGCCCCCTCCCGTCGGGCCACGCGTGATCCCGGCCTCCAGGCACCCGACGCCCGCGCCGCCCATCGCCCGCCGCCCGGGGCGTTGCACAAGGCCCGAGGCGCCGCTGCGCGCGCGGCCACCAAAAGCCAAACCCGCTCTCTATCGCAGCCACCGCCGAACGGGAGGCGGAGGCAGAGGCAGGGCCAAAGGCAGAGGCAGAGGCAGAGGTAGAGGCGGAGACTGCGGCAGAGGCAGAGGCAAAGGCAGGGGCAGAGCCAGAGGTGGAGGCTGAGCCAGAGCCAGAGCCAGAGCCAGAGCCAGGGGCAGAGGCAGCGGCAGAGGCAGAGGCAGAGGCGGAGACTGCGGCAGAGGCAGAGGCAAAGGCAGGGGCAGAGCCAGAGGCGGAGGCGGAGGTGGAGCCAGGGGCAGAGGCAAATGCGTGGAGCTGACGGGAGCTGGTGGCGGCGACACTCACTTTCACGCCAGTGGCCGTCGGGCGGCGGCGTAGGCGGCGGCGGCTCTCGCGGACGTCGCCCGGCGGAGAAAATCCCCGCGGCGCGGCGCAGCGGGCGCGCGGCCGGATGTGGAGCCCAGCGGAACGAGGAAGAGGCTCGCGAAAGT